AAGGAACTGAAATACTTTCATAGACTTAAGGCTGAAACATCCTAGTGTAGAAGAACCAGATGAGTGCTATCCCAGGGTTGTAGATTTGGAGGTCACTGGACTTTGGTTCAAATCTCTTGCTTTGAGGATGCCACATGAATGGTGGCTTGGGGCTGCCACATATTTGCCTTTTTAGGACATGTCTTAGTCTAGAAAGCATGGTTCTTCCTTTGTGTAAGAGCATATCCCCACCCTTCATTGTTTGCATAGTGTCCAGTCACTATTGAGTTTTTATCTGTGCAGGTCACCAATTCATGTCTCTTGGCCTAAAAAACAGTCACATTGATGTATTCTTTCCTTTTCTTAATAGTACTTGAAATTCTATAACATTGGCTAAATTAATGATACTATGCATAGAATTTCCCTGTGCCCTATGGGGATGACATAAAGTTCCCCAATAAAAGGATAAGGATGTCTCTAAAGTGGACCAGGGACATATAAAGCACAAGACATGGATAGATTTTGAGCTTGCACTTAACTGTAGCCTCATCTAAGAACAAGTAGTTCTTAGGGGAACTTGACAGTTGCCCTCATGAGGAGATCACTGAAGATATGGGTGCTGTTACAAACTGTGTTGAAGATGGCTCACAGCTATCAGAAAGCATAGCATCGCTTGTTAAAACAAACAGCCACCTGAGGGAAGTGACAGCCAAGTCCACATGGAAGAAACGCACCAGCCTTTTTCATCCTAGTATTATAAATAATAAAATCCAAGACAGGAGGAGGGAATGATATCAGAGCATAAATTCTGAGCACCCAGTTTACAGAAGGCTCTGGATGCCAGTGAAATCCCAAGATCCATTTGAAGAGTCCCCATTTGGACTAAGCCTCTGGTGGATTCCCTCTGACCATTGCGCAGGGATGTCAATGGCCTGGTATCAGAGGGAGCATTGGAAAGTGGAACAGTGTTGTAGTTAGGTTAACATTTAATTTTTATCCCTTTTAACGAATTTTAAATTTGTTCTTGTTTTATTATTTTTGTTCTCTTTTCAGTTGAGTTTATCCTGTTTTATTTTGTTATTTTTGTTGGCTCTTTAAATATTTTTTTCTTTTTGTTTGTGTGTGTGTGCTTTTAATATGAAATCCAGGATAGCTAAGTCTATAAACACACTAATTGGATTAATATTTTCTTGGCTTGTGGCAGGAGAAGCTTAATGGAAATGGGGAACTAATAATAACTAGTATGAGAAAGAAGAAAATGTTCTAAAATTGACTGTGGTGATGATTGCACAACTTTTAAAATGGTATTTAAACTTTGAACAGAGGGGAAAAAAACTTTGAACAGTATAAATATGAGTTAAATGTTAGAAACCTCAAAATTAAAAAAATCATAGCCAATAGGATCCAACTAAATATATATGCTTTTAAATGATAATCAAATGGACTTCATAGCAGGTGTGCAAGGATGGTTCACATTAGAAAAACAATGTAATCCACTATATAATTAAAATAAAGGATAATACTTATGTGATTATACCAGTTGATGCAGAAAACACGTTTGCCAAAATCCAACATCGATTCCTGATAAAACATTCAGCAATATAGAAATAGAAAGGAAAGTCATCAACATAATAAAGGCCTTATATGCTTTTGGCCAACATCTTGCTCAATGCAGAGAGATGGACAGCGTTCCCTTTGTGAATGGGAACTAGATGTGAATGCTCCTTATTACCACTTTTATTCAATATTATGCTGGAAATGTTAGCCAGACCTATTTGAAAACAAAAAGAAATGAAATCATCCAAATTGGCAAAAACGAAGGAAAACTGTTTGCAGATGATATTTTCTACATGTGAAAACCCAAAAAGTTTGACAGGAAACTTGTTAGAATCGAAAGGAAATGGAAAACAAAACCATGCCATTTACAGTAGCCGCGCAACAGCTGGAACAGTTAAGACTGAACCTAGCCAGGGAAACATAGAAGAGTGTAAAACACTCCAACAAGAATCAAGCGAGACCTAGAAACATGGAAGACTGTTCCATGTTTATGGATTAGAAGATTTAACCTTGGGAAAATGTAAGAAGTACCCCAGTCAATCTAAATATCATAAAACTCCAGTCCAGACAGAGAGTCCCAGAAGCTCACAGGACAGTTCTACCCTGTCCGACAAGGTAGCTGTGAGTCACCATCCACTCGATGGCAGCGTGTTTGGTTTTTGAGAGCCCTAAGGGTGAAGTCGACTTCCCCCATTGGGTGCCAAGGCTGTAAATCGTTACAGAAGCACATGTCCATGTCTTCCTCCCAGGGAGCTGCTGGCGAGTGTGAATCGCTACCTCTCAGCAGCAGGTGCTTATTCCGTTACCACAGCGCTCCTTCCTTCGTGTACTTCTTGGACGTGACATTACTCATCGGAAAAGGCTTGTGTCTGCATAGTTTGTCTTAGACAAATGGTAGTGTCCCAAGGCTCACCAGGATAGATGCTTGCCCCAGTGTCTCGGGGCTGGGTAATAAAATCCCTCAAAGTGGGTGACTTTAAAGGATAGAATTGTCTTTTCTTGAAATGTTAGAGCTAGAAGTCTGTGGCTATATTGATTCCTTCTGGGTGCCTTCAGAGAGGAAGTGTTCCCTGCCTCTGTGCTGCCTTGACGTGGCTGCCAAGGGTCCCTGGCATTCCTTCGGATCTGCTTCTTTCACCACATATTCTGACGCAGGATTGCTTTTTATTAATAATAATAATAATTATTATTAATAGAGTTAGGATCCACCCAACTGGGTAACATCCAGCTGATAACATCTGCAAGGGAAAGTTCTAATTTCCCCAAACAAGGCCATGTTCACTGGGATGAAGAGTTAGGACTTCCGTGTCTCTTTTGCGGGGACACAGTTCAATCCGTTATCGGTTTCACATCAAACATTTCCACGGCTTCCTGAGCTTTGCTCCTGGAAAGAGCACCACCCATTTTCAGACATACCCCTCCGAGGATATCTTCCTGGGGAGCCCCATTTGGACACGCCCCCAACTTCAATCTCACTCACCTCTGAGAACACCACCTTCTCCCTCTGAGGACATCCTCCCTCCATGTGCTCCCCTCTCTGAGGACTCTTGCCCACACGCTCAGACCAATGTTGGCATAGCCCAAGCCAGTGAACCTTCACATACCACCTCCTCAGAAGACTTCTCATCTATTAACACTAACCGTTAAGAAATATATATATATATATATATATTTTATTAGGGGCTCATACAACTCTTATCACAATCCATACACACATCAATTGTGTAAAGCGCATGTGTACATTCATTGCCCTCATCATCTGTTAAGAATTATATTGTGTCACAAAAGACAAAAAAAAAAAAAAAAAGAAAAGTCAATTCAAACTTAGCCTGTGCTCATCATCTTATTTGTTATATTAATGAGACATGGTTAATTGGGGTGTGTTTTGAATCACTCACATTTACAAAATATCTAAGTTGCAGATTAAGTAAGCAGAGGCGAGGAAAGATAAATGCCAAGCCACATGGAGATCTTCAGGGGACACCACAAATATTAAAAGGAAATAAAGGATTCCTTAGAGGTGACAGAGATAGAAAGCTTTCCCCTAAAGCCTGTGCCCTGAATTCAGACTTTTAACCTCTTAAACTGTGGGGAAATAAATCTATATTTGTTAAAAACAAACAAACAAACAAAAAGTCACTTGTATTTCTGTTTAAGTAGCACTAAGTAACTTTTTTCTTTTAAAACAGTTTTATTGTCACTTAATCCACATATCACACAGTTCAGTCGTTCACTCATATCAAGAAAAGTTGCACAATCATTACCACAATCAGTTTTAGAACACTCGTCCTCCCCCCACCCCCCCTGGTTAAATCACTTTTAAAACGAGTTGTGTCATCACCATCACTTCTGCACTAGGTAACCTTGACACTGATGGCAGGTCGTACCGGCACTGAGGGCTCTGGAGACAATCCTGCCTACTGGGTAGCTCTGCCGGTGTCTGTTGAACAGTGGAAAGATTTGGTGCTAAGCCTTGTCTAATGGGGGCTCAGACCACGTAGCTGCCCTGGGCTGAGTCAGAGATGAGGTCAGGAGAAAGTTAAGGTCACTGGAAAGTTTAGGTCTAGAGTACTGCTGAGCAGGTCTGTCTGAGAAGGTTTGGGAGAATGTGAAATAGAAGAGTGTGAGGCTCTGGGGAGCCCAGAACTGGGATCCAGGTATTTAACTCCTTAGCTATATGATGTACAATAAATCCTTTGTTTACCCATTAATAAGAATAGGTCATGGGCTTAGTGGCCTTGGGACCTCATTTTCTTTTCATGTTAAGCAGGGCAGTGGGGTCTAGGGTCTGGCCTCACAGCACTAGGGTAAAGGTCCACTCCTCTTTGACTGCACAGAGCATTATTGCCTGAAACCCTTCATTGAGCGCTAATGTTGGTGTTGCCTTGTGAGTATTTATGGCTGTTTTTATTGTTTTGCTTCAAGATTGTGAATATAGAAAGAATTTCTTAACTCTATCTGTGATACTGTTTATTGAATGCCCCCCCCCAAATATTTAAAGTAAGCAAGTCTAAAAGAAAATGTGTAAGAAAATTCATCAGACTTGTATGAAACCTATGTGAAGAAAAGACAACATTTAATTAAATCTTATAAATAGAAATGCCTACCATTTCGAGATGGAATGATTCAATAGTATGAAACTGCCAGGTTTCCCCTAAGGTACTGAATTAATTCTAATGCCAATCAACTCAGTGTCAAGGGGAGGAGGGCTTTTAAAAAACGATTTAAAGAGCTTAGCTGCTTTCTTTTGTTTCTGTTGGCGTCTTTGACTTGGGAGAAGTAGATGAAATATATGAAAACAGCTAAGAAATGATTATAGAAGGTGAATAATGAGGATGAGAAGCTGGCAGCATTCAGAGTACTTGCTGCATCTCCTGATTGGTTGAGTTACATAATTTGCACATAAAAATTGTACATAAGTGTGTAATAAAGTGATACCTTTCAAAGTGGTTTTTATTGTTCAGTGTTTTCCAGGGTGCCTGACGATTCAGATCCGTACTACTTTGTGTATTGTCATTGTGGTCTTAATCTATTCAGTGGCCCAAGGATGTATGGTAAGTATTTTTAACTGGCAAACAGAACTAGAGTCAGGGAATAGCTTTAGAAATGTCTTAGGGTGGAGGAAGACCTTCACTCCGACAGAGGATGAGCCTGGAATCAAGGAGCCCGAACTGAATGGTTTCCACCTTAGGCAGAGCTTGTGGAACCGTTTGAATTTGCTGGGTGCACAGGTTAGAAGGTGCCAGAGGAGGGAGACAGGATGTACAGTGTGGGAGCCAGGAATGTACAGTGTGGGAATGTATTCTTCTTGTCATGCCCAGTGACCCCTGTTTCTTTCCCCCAAGGTGGGCTGTATGCCCTGGGCCTGGAGCATGAGCCCCAACAGCTCCCTGGTGGTCCTCTTGCCTGGAGTCCGCAGCAGCTCATTGCCCACGCCACCCTGCACGTCAGCCCCCCATGCCCTGCTCTGCTGCCTTGTCGGCACCCTCACACTTGCCACCTTCCTGCGTGTCCCCTCCTGGTCCAAGATGCTCCTCCTGCTAGTGCTTACCTTGCTGTCCGTCCTCATGCTGTGGCTTAGCAGGTCCACCGGAGCACCCAGGTGAGTGTGGCCCAAGGGCTTCTCAGTGCTGATCACAAGCCACGTCTTCCATCTTCTGATGAGAACGTTCGTCCGCATTGGTGGGATTTTTTTGTTGGTTCGTTTTGAGGTTTGGCTTCCCCACTTCTCCCCTTCAGTGCGCATTCCACCAGGTCCTCCAGACTTCCCAGTAAGAGGTGACTCCACCCCAGATGGTCCTACTGCCTGTGGTAGGTCCAAAGTCGTGGTCTAGGAGCCCTGTATGAGGAGCTTTGCTGAGCTAACTAGCTCCACATGAGGTCCGAGAACCCTCTGTGAGCTGCTCCCCTGTGGTGCTGGACTCGCTCTCAGCCACCTTTCTCTTCCTTCCCCAGGGGCCATGCCATCTCCCCGCATAGCTATGAGCCCATCCTGGCCGTCCTGCTCTTCTCCTTCGCCCTGGGCCTACACTCCAGGCAGGTGGACCTCAAGTTTCGGCTGGACTACCTCTGGGCTCTGCAGGCAAGACATGCCCTCTAGCCTCTGGTGTGGGTGGCTGTGGTGAAATAGATGTACCCTGGGCAAGATGGTGGGGGCAGTAGAGCCTCCTGACACAGAGTGTAGAGTGTGGTACCGCCTAGGCAGGGCAGGTCTGTGGCAGCGGCTGTGGGACGGTGTCTGGGGAGATAGGGTGGGAATGCTACAGGAGGGGCTGGATAAAAGCTGTCGATGGTCTCCCCATCTGCTTGGGTGGGACAGTGGCACCGTATCCATCAGGTTTATCAGGGCATGTGTGAAGATGCAGAACCTTGCACCAGCTGCCCGCAGTTCAGTAAGTCTACAGGAGGCCAGGCATGTTGCTTTTGCAAACACCCTGGACAGTTAGGAGAGAAGCCTTGGATGGCAGGGCTTGTAGGCTGTCCAACACCCTGAGTACCTGGATTGTGGGGTGGGGTGGGGTGGGGGGGTGAAACAGCCTCCGGCAGTCTTTTTGTTGGGCTATCTGTTAGGTGTAAGACAGGAAGATGATTGCCAAGTACGGACTGTCGGCACGGGCTGTCTTCCTTGAGGTGCAAAGCTGGCCTGTAGTCCCTTTATGCAGATGAGGCCCCATAAATAAGTGGAGTCTGGGGGTGCACCTGTCCTCCAGGGCCTCAGGGTGGACATGGAGTCTCCTGGTTCAAATCCCCAGCCTGTAGCACTTACAAGCTTACTGACCTCAAGCAAATTTCCATCTCAAACCAGGGAGGGACAAGGATGATCAACATTCTCTCTTGCAGGAGATTCTTCCTGTAACATTGTAAGGAACAGATGGTATGCACATATTTCTTTTCTATGCAGTCCTCAGGACAGCATTCCATGGAAACTATTTTACAAGTGAGAGGAGAGCCAGGCGCCCACAACAGTCTGACATCGGAGAGTGTTTTAGATCAGCTGGTGATATCTTAGAGGAGCCCTAGTGGCACAGTAGTTATGGGTTGGGCTACTAACCACACAGCCAGCATTTCGAAACCACCAGCTTCTCTGTAGAAGAAAGATGAGGCTTTCGACTCCTGTAAAAGTTTAGTCTTCGAAACTCACAAGGGCAGTTCTACCGTGTCCTGTAGGGTTACTACGAGTCGGAGTGAACTTGATGGCCGTGAGTTTTTAGGTTTTGGTGGCCTCTTGCACCAGTGCTACCTCTGCACCTGGGATTGAAGTGGGGTCCAGCCTGTTGTTGTGTCGCATGCCACACAGAGGACCTCACTTGGCCCAAGAAATCATCCCGTGGCTGCTCTTCAGTCTCTTCTGGAAGCAAGACCAAGCCTAGGCCACCCCTAATGGAGGAGGCAAGGCTCTGGCAGAGTTGGACCCAGTGTCCACATGGCTTCCGTATTGGGTAGCTTTGAGTTGGAATTGATTCGATGGCAGTGAACTTGACCTTAAAGAAGAGTGGGTCATCAGGATCAGGAAACCTTGAGGTCTTGCTTGAGGAGCAGCACCAGCCACGGTTGAGGGTGGAAGCTTGAAGTTAGGTAGTGATTGTTCTAAAGGCCAGCAAATAGGTAGTGTCTGTGGGGCCTTGGCTAGCTCTAGTCTCTTCTCCCATAAATGAGGGGAATCACTCTAATTCAGGAATCACTTTAATTCAGGAATAATTTAAATTGTGCTCATAAAGTGCTGAATGGCATAATGGGTGCCGAGAAGGCTGAGATGAAGTCGAGGCCCTCATTCATAGTCTCTGACTTATTTCACCAGTCTCTGTCAAATGACTCTGCAGGCAACCATACTAACTCGCTGCCATCGAGTAAATGCTGACTCTAGGGTCAGGTGGAACTGCCCCTGTGCGGTTTTGAGACTGTAACCCTTTACAGAAATAGAAAGCCTCATTTTTCTCCCACAGAGCGGTTGGTGATTTCAAACTGTGGACCTTGTGGTTCACAGCCCAACCATTACGCCATCAGGGCTTCTGCAGATAACCATGGTTAGGTGGATCTCTTTACAGAGGAATCAGGAAGGTCCTGAGAATGGGTGCAAGGAGCACCTGGGAGCCACCAAATATCCTGTGATTAGTGAACTAAGAGACAAGTTTATCATTTAGAAAACAGCTCTTTTCCCTGTAGCTCTTACCCTGAAAAAGACGCCAACCAAGCAGATTTCCTGTGTGTCAGAGAAGGTGCATACTTAAGATAAAGAAGAATAATTTTGTTAGTTTGGGTAAACAAATGGAGGAAAATAGAAAGCTAGCTAGCTAGCTAGATATGAATGGATATATGCTAAATGAAAAATATGGTTCATTTTATTTATCTATTTATTTATTTATTTTTACTTTTTATTGTGGATTTGGAGAGGATTTACAGAGCAGATTAGAGTTGTACCCTAAAAAATTCCTACACTTTCTGGTTCCACTCCTTCTTTGCAATCCCCTCAATGTACCATAGCTTATCCCATCGCTCCCCTATATTTTCTATTTCCTTTCCCAACCCTTTGAAATTTGTCCTTGAGTAAATGCTGCCCTTTTGATCTTAAGCGATTGCTTATTGTGACTCCAGGGTGAGTTCAGTTCCAGACCTGACTAGTAAGGGCAGTTGTCTCGGGTGTCCCATCAGTCTCTAGCAAATCAATAAGTCTGACCACTTGTAGGATTTTGAGTTCTAGTTCACCGTTTCCTCCCATTCTATCTGGGATGGTCTCCTATGATCCTCTGCAGAGCACTGAGCGGTCGTAGTCTGGCATCGTCTAGTTCTTCTAGCCCAGAGGATGGACATTGATATTTGTATGGTCCGTGGATCCACAGGACTAATTGTCTCATGTTTCTTTCTATTTCATCATTCCCCTTTGCTCTAGAAAGGGAGAGGCCAATATTGTGCTGTAGATGGCTGCTCACAGGCTTTTTATTCTCTTTCAGTTTTATCGGCATACAACGTATGCCTTATACAATGAAGTGGTTTAAATATATTTAAGAGAGTTGTGCATTCATCACCATGGTCAATTTTATAAATTTTTCTTTATTTTTTATAAATGATTATTAGCTCCCCATTTCTTCCCATGTCATAACCCTAAGAAATTGTTGGGTGTTTTTTTTTTCAAATTAAGATTTTAATTTTGAGATCATTGTAGATTAGCACGCAGCTGTAAGAAACAATGTAGAAAGGCCCCAGAGTCTTAAAGGCTTGGAGATAAAGAAGCGGCCATCTAGCAGGGAAGCAACAAAGCCCACTGGAAGAAGCACACCAACCTGTGTGATCATGAGGTGTCAATGGGAACAGGTATCAGGCATCTAAGATCCAGAACAAAATCTTACCCAATGTGAATGGGGGCTGGGGGATGGGCATAGAGGAGAGACCCAATGCCCATCTGTAGACAATTGGACATCCCCTCACAGAGGGGTCACAGGGAAGAGATGAGCCAGTCGGTGCAGTATAGCACTGATGAAACTTTCCTCTAGTTCTTTGGTGCTTCCTTCACCACACTATCATGGCCTCAATTTTACCTTACAAATTGGATTAGACCAGAGCATGCACACTGCTACAGATAAGAGCCCTAAACACAGGAAATCCAGGATAGATAAACCCCTCAGGGTCAACGATGAGAGTAGAGATACCAGGAGGATTAGGGGATGGTAGTGGGAGAGGGGGGGGAATTGATCAAAAGGATCAATCTAGAATACTCTCCCAGGGGGACGAATAACGGAAAAGTGGGTGAGGGGCGGCAGAGTACAATGCAAGATAAGGAAATAATAATCTACAACCTATCAAGGGTTCATGAGGGAGGGGGAGGGAGGGAGGGGGAAGAAATGGGGAGCTGATATCAGGGGCTCAAGTGGGATGAGAATGCTTTGAAAATGATGATGGCGGCATATGTGCAAATGTGCTGACACACTGGAGGAATGTATGGATTGTGATAAGAGATATAAGAGCCCCCAATAAAAGTATTTTTTAAAAAAGAACGAAAAACCCCAGAGAGAGACTTCTTTATTCCTGTTTCCCTATTCTTTTGCACATGCTTCATATTTGTATTCATTAAAAAAATATTTTAACAGTTTTAGTGCTATATAATTCACATATCATACAGTTCAATAGTTTAAACATATTAAAAGAGTTGTAGAATTTTCACTACAATTTTAGAACATTTTCCTTACTCCTTGTGTTCATTTTTTTGGAAATTTATTTATTTATTTATTAATAGTTTTATTAGGGGCTCATACAACTCTTATCACAACCCATACATACATCACTTGTGTAAAGCATATTTGTACATTCATTGCCTCATCATTCTCAAAACATTTGCTCAATAAATCCCCATATCCTCACCTCCCCTGCCATGCCCCCAGGAACTACGAATCCAGTTACTGTCTCTGTAGATTTACATATCCTGGATTTCATATAAAGGAAAAGATACAAAAAGAAAAAGAAAAAAGTCCCCAATAACAACAATAAAATATAGACAAACAGCTGAAAACATAACAGAAAATTTAAAAAACTAAAACGAATTTTAAATGCATCAATATGGAGAACAAATGATAAAGTGTTAAATTTCAAATAGACTACACCTGCACTAGGACCACTTTTCAATGCTCTGTCTGACAGCAAGGCTGTTTATACAGGGGATCCATTGGAGGCTTCATCCCAGGGAGGGCCTCTCACATGCATTTTGGGGCTTCACTCTCATCCATATCCTTCTGCAAACTGGTGCTCAGAATTTAAGTTCTAATGCTATGTTCTCTTCCTGTCTTGAATTCTGTTATTCACATTTCTTGGATAGCACAGGCTGATGTGCTTCTTCTGTGTGGACTTAGCTGGCGCCTTCGTTAGATGACTGATTGTTTTAAGACAAGCCTTTAAGACCTCAAACACTATTCTTTTTTATTTTTTAATAAATCATTTTATTGGGGGCTTTTACAGCTCTTATAACAATCGTTAGATCACTTTTATCAAGCACATATGTACATATGTTGCCATCAATTTCAAAACATTTTCTTTCTACCTGAGTTCTTGGAAACAGCTCCTCTTTTTTTCTCCTCCCTCCCACCCTCGTGACCC